CTAGGTGGAGAGAGGCGCTGTGAGAGTAAAGTGTCTTGCCCAAGAACACAACACAATGTCCCCGGCCAGGGCTCGAACCCGGACCGCTCGATCCGGAGACGAACGCACTAACCATGAGGCCACCGCGCCTCCCACTAGCCCTTAATAACATGGGAATTATTTCAATTAAGTAATTACACTTACATGCATCGTGGATGGATTTGTCATTAGCGTATAAAGAGGCTGAGCCAATGAACCTGAACCAACACACTGTAAGGCTGCTGACGTGTGGATGACAATTTCAGCTAAGGTGTGTTCCTGTGGGCTCTTTCCACGAAAAACTTGAAGTTCCCTAAGTTGGCCTCCTTGGCTATTTTCTAGAAGTTGTCTGGCAAAAGGTTGAGCCTTAGGAGAATCAACATCAACAAACAGTTGGCAAAAAACAAAACACAGTCATACGCATAGGCTAGAATACGGTGTTTGCCGCTCCTGTTATAGTTACTTGAATGTATTGAGAAAAAAAATGAGCTAAAAAGGGTAGATTCCTAGTTCTCTTGCTTAGAAGCAATTTTAAAAGCGGAAAACACTTACATAGTTAAAGGCAGTCATCGCTGGTGCAGTAACAACGATAAATTACGAATCACTAGCTCCATCCCCCAGTTTGAAACAGGGGTCCTTATCTACGCCTTATCTTAAAGCATTCCATAATTAAGCTATCTTCAGGAATGCTAAGGGAGCAATGTAGACGAGGTTACTTATCATACCGTTAAAGAAACACGTTCTCCGTCTTTGATGAAATCATCCAGCTTTTCCTTGACCTGGCCATAAGATGTAAATAAACATTTAAGTGGTACTATGATCAAATTTTTTTCCCTTAATATTTTAGGTGTATCACATAGAATTCCATGAAAGAATAGAAACGCTGTTTACCGTTTGCAAATATCTGCATTAGTTCCAGAGATATTTAAGTTTGAAAAATGTGTAAAATATGCAAATAATATGTTGATGACGTCATACACTCAACCCAATTTTACATCAAGTATATAAATAGAGCTATCTTGGTCAATTTGCAGCGCAGACCATTGAAACTTCGTAGGTTAATAGTTCTAGAGGAAACACACCTACGGCTATAAAAAATTCTGTTCCCATGGTAACCCACTCTTTTCCAGTCCCCACCCACTTGATTTCAATATGTTAGTGATTTTCAGCTCACAAAACATTAAACCAGGCCACAAACTTGAGCTAATATATTTATATGCTCGCTGGATCAAACATGTGAGGCACCATTTGCAAATATCAAAATGGAACGCCAAAGGTGGTCAGAAATGCCTTTAATATTGGGGAGGTCTGGAACCCTGTATGTTGCCACGGTAACCAAATTGTTAAGCTCATATTGCGGAGCACATTTAGTAGAATCTTACTGCAAGGAATCAAACATTTCTGATACAAATTGGCTGAGATCTCTTTTTCATCATATTTGATCAAATTTTGGTTGAGTGTATGATGTCATCATCGGGCTAATTTGCATATTTTAAAAACTTGAATATCTCTGTAATGAAAAGAGATATTTCAATATAGTAAACAGCATTTTTCTTCTCAAACAGGCTACTTTTTTATGTTTTAAAATGGCTGCGATAGGAAAGATGCGATTTTCGTCATAGTACTACTTTAAGAAAATCAGAAGTCCATAAAAAAAGTTATATAGTCTTCTGTTGAAGAACATAATCATGATCAAAATGGTGTCTTACTGCTAAGCTAAATGAACCGAATTTAAAGAGTAAAACAACAACGAAACAGAAAATCTTCACTTATGTTTATAAAACTTCAAATAGGACATGTTACATAGTTGAGAGAACATCAAGCGGAAGGGTAGATATCAAAGATCAACAACAAAAGTTATAAGTAATCGACGTATTTTGTCTTGTGTGATCGTCCGGGTGACGATAGTTCTGAAACGAACTGTTGTTGGTGACTAATGTTTCGACAACCTGAGCTGAAGTCACCTTAAGAGTCACACATCATCGACTGACAAACATTATTCACTTGATTCTGAAGATGACTTCCGTTCAGGTTGTCGAAACGTCAGTCACCAACAATAGTTCTTTTCAGAACTACCCTCACCGTCCTAACCCGGACGATCACACAAGACGAACTACTGACACTCCTGAGTTCAAACCATTTACTACATATATCTAATTAGATGTTTTGGTGTGTAGTATCGCTGTATATTTTTACGAGTTGTGCCGTATTTTGACGAGCCCGGAAGACGAGTCAAAATACAAACAACGAGTAAAAATATACAGCGATACTACATACCAAAACATCTAATGGGAGATTTATTATCCAACTGCTGTATTCAATAAATTTATCAATGAAAGAGTGAGAGTGTGACAGTTTTGCGTGCGCGCGATGACCTGTACGGCAAACAGGTTTTCTACTGTACAAATAACTCTACAATATCGCTGTATATTTGTACTGTTATTTGGACGGTATTCGCTGCAGTTGGATAATAAATTGACGTATTGTAGCCTTATCAGTTATATCGAACGTTTCCTTACCTCTTCAGACTTTGGACTTTGAACTAGGGAAGCATTTGCCAAAGTTATTTCACGGTACAATGCTAAGAGAAGGAGTATGTCTATGTTGACACCTTGTTCTTCGGTTTCCTACCCAAAAAAAATATACATTACTATTTTTTCTGCGTCAGTAGTTACAAATTTAACCCAAATCTGAATCACATAAAATACAAACCGTGATAACAGTAACAAAGTCTTGGATATTTCCACTGATGACAGTTTTTGCTAGTCCTTCACGAAGTACCCGATAGTGCTTCTCGTGAACAATAAACCTGTCTTGAATGACATCATCCTCCTAAAAACAAAAGTCATCGTTCATCAGCAGTCCATCCCTGAAATATGGTCGGTATTGTTTTCGTTTACATACTTTGTCCTAGATTTTTCGACACGGACTTAACTCTACTAGCACTTCCATAGGTACTGTTCCCAATTACTGAGTTAACCTACGATCATGACCTCCCTCCCTATCCCTTTCCCTTAAAAAATAAACGCCTGATCGCAGGTTAATTCTGAGTTGGAGTCATGTTCAAAAAGACTAAGACAAACTCTTCAATTTGTCTTTTAAATTGATCCTAATCAGGGGAAATTGCACAAGTTGTAAAGAATCAAATTAGCCTCAGCTTCTAATGTTTCCATAGGAGCTATCCCACAATACTGAATGGGAGTCGTTCTAAAAACTGCGAAGTACAGAGTTGTTATATCCACAAAAAACGGAATTCAATATTCTTGTGCCATTCTTAGTGGCCCATTTGCTTACCTGCTGTCGAGCTTCTGGTGGCAGAATCCACTCTAGTTCCTTATAGCCACCCATTGTCCGAACGCAGTCAAAACCATGCCGTCTGACAAGTTGTTTAAGAAGGTAGAGCTGGGGCGTGGTGCTTGATCCTTCCATGCAAAGCTTTCTAGCAGAACCAAGTAGGCAGCCAGCTTCTCTCTCAACATCAAGGTCTTTAGTATAGCTACTATCTCCTTCAATAAACCACTTGTAAAGGAAGTCTGCTACGAGTGATAGGACGTAACGTCCTTTTGCGACACCTTCCAGTGCGTTTGCGTCTATCTCAAACGAACCTTCTTCATTGCCTGTGAGAGCTTTAAATGCCTCATCGCAAATCTTTTTGGCATATTTGAGTTTTACTGTCAACTTCGAATCGGCCACTTTGGATTGGTACCGGCTTATTAGAATGTCCTGGGAAAAGAAAAACAAAGTTACAGTAAAAATAAAGTTACATTTCACTGAATTGACTGCAAGGCTTAACTGAGTAAGAAGTATACTTTTGAAAACAAAATGCAAAATCAAATATAATTACAAGCTCACGAAATATTGGAGTGACGTGATCTCATCAAGTTAAAACAAAGGAAATCATAATNATGTTGTAAATGTTTTTTAAATTTGACTAATTTTGATTGTGTAGTTATTAGTAACTTAGTAATTTAAGTAATTGTTCCTAAAAAGCCCCATTGGGGAGGTAACAATAAAGTATGTATGTATGTAAAGAAGCTTAAATGAAGAGACTGAATTCATCAGAAAATCCACAGTGTGAAGAATGATCAAGAGGACTTACTCTCGTGTCTGAGTATAGTTACACTATAGTAATGAACTGCAGACTTCACTAGTCCATTAGGGGGGCTATGTAGCCACGAGAGTTAAATTTTTCCGTTTTTGTCGCCTTTTCTTTTTTGTTCTGTCTTTGTTGTTAAAGGTTAATTTTTGCGTACCTTTTTTGTGCAGTTTTTAAATGCAAATTAGTCTTTTCACCTCGTGTTATGTAATCGTATATTGTTTATCACATAACCTCGTTAAGTTTATTCTTTTAGTTCAAAATTCCGTTTCATAGCGTTGTAGTTCTTTAGTAGTATTTAGTCGTTGCAAGTTCCGGAGTGCCGTACAGATCTTGTAAGTAATCTCGTTTACCTTTCTATTTTTTGCTGTTTTTCATATTTTTGTATTTTCAGTTTATTTAAGTTTAAGTTCGTATACATTAATTTCTGTAGTTGTTATTTTGGTTTTAAGTTAATCGTTAGAATTAAAGACGAATTCAAAACGTACAGGACTGTTATTTACACTTATAGTCCATGGGATGTATACATTGTAGCACATTGTTTGCGTAAACCAAAACTTCACTTGATTCCACAACTTGTCATGTCCAAGAACTCTCTTTAATGTTGATAAGTAAAACACATTTAATTAAAACATCATGAGGAAAATATTGCAAAATCGAACTCGCACACGTGCTAAAGCATTACAGCCTTTAAAAAACGTTGTTGTGACAGCCAATTCTTGACCGGTAATGTTCGATTGTTGTTCCCATGCTGGCGGCTAAAAACAGACAACTCCAATATGTGAAGTGTGACCAGTAAGAGTGCTATGGCTTGATCGACAAGTAGTATTCTTTGAGAGTACAAGTTATACGCTTCTGCTCCTTTGTAATCCGCACTAAACACAAGGCGAGCTTGCGTGGGCAAAACAACTCCGATACCGCCAAGAAAACTCGCTCAGCAACACCCGACTGAGATAAAAAGAAAACAAACAATTGCACGGCAGTGCAGTTAATTTTCGAAATGAAAGGAAGAAAGCCAAACATAACCAGCATGACAGAGCGATTTTGAAATAGAAAATAATTTACCTTGAACAACTACAACTAATTTGCCACGGAAACCTCTTCAAATTTTTTTACAAAACAAGTTAAACGGTTGGAATTACACAATACGACAACGACACGCTCGAAGCAATGGCCAACGAAACAACTCGAAAAGACTCGCAACTACTAGTGCCCAGCTCTACCTGTCGGACTATTTGTTCCTCCGGATATTTGTCTTACTCAAGATCCGCCTCTGACTTAGTGGTCACAACAATAAACCAACACTAACAGATCACTAGCTTTATCCCCTGGTTTAAGACAGGGGATCCTAATCTATGAACCTCACATTTGTCGTTCCTCTAAAGTTTACCTAAAAATAACAATTATGGTACGGTCCACACGACTCACATTCGACAATCATTTCTATTTGTTCGCATTGGACACTGGGACGATAATTGACAAACGTTGTGCAAGTTTAAATTGTTGTTGTTGTTGTTGTTGTTGTTGTTGTTCTTCTTCTTCTTCTTCTTCTTCTTCTTTATGGCCTTCTTCGTTCAGTAACGTTGTTGCATCAAGGTTACTTCCACCTTCACGGGTGTCCTCGAGGAAAAATTCGTAATCTCGACAGCTTCATTAAACTCCAACAAAGCATATATCAGTAGAAAATTTAAAAATTAAGTTAACAACGAAAAAAAATAATAATTTAAGAAACGTTTTCTTTCAGGAAGTGCCAGGAGCCGGTAAACCGTGAAACTGGGTATCGAGTGGAGCTGTCTTATTCACCAGGCATCAATCAAGAAGTGTGTCAGGCGTTTTTCGATATTCTGATTAGTTGTCTAGATATCCGTATCGAAAGCTGGAGTAGCTAAAAAATATGTGAGACGTGTTGCGTAAATGGACGCCACGAGAAATATATTTAGATAATCGAAAAAACCTGACACCATTTCGTTTGTCGTTATCCCTAGAATGTTTTGGCGAAATGTTACGACAATCCGTCAAATCTAAATACCCTATAAATTTCCCTCAAAGTTGATATATTATTCCCAAAATAAAATGTGACATTTTAGAAAGAAACCAAAACGGGCAATTGAGCCAAACACAAAGGGGCAACCCGCAGCCAAACAAGTAAAGCCAGCAAGTGTACCAATAAGCACGATAAGGAATCAACGTACGGACAGCTCAGGCAGACAGCTCAGTAAGGAATACCATAAGCCTTGGCCGCTTTCAGAAAAACGATTTTCTTTCCTATACAAAGATGGCTGACTATTTCTTTCTTCTTTGGGCCTGTTTGATTTTTTATCCTCGTCCAAGGATTTTTTTTGTTGAAGAATTTTCCACTTGAGAGCAAGCGTAAAGGTCCTCCATTACCATTTGCAGATTTATCAAATGTGTGATGTTAGCAATACCAAATAACATGAAATAGGAGATCTAAGATAGGTGTTTACTGCGAGAATTCCATCGGCGTTTCCGTCCATTTACAAGATTATTCCTGCTTTATATGCAATATTGCATAATCCCATATAGTCATCCACCGTCTTGAGGACTTTACGAAACCTAAGAATCTCCCCCGGATGAGAGTTAATAGTTAATGAAAATGGTGAAAGCTCGAGACGTAATCGGATTGTCGCAATTACCACCTTTGCTTCTAGTCAAATCCCTTCCAAACGGCTGAAAAAGACCCAGGGACACAGGAAAACACAGAACATTTATTTTACATGAATGTTATTGCTGATACAGTATTCGGGTTCCCTGTGATTTGGGCAAGCAATAATTTCATGAACGCAAATCGAATGGGAGTTTTAAAATTGCCTACAGGCCAAAATTCAAGCTTGTTCTTTTGTTTTTAATGCAGTGATGCGGTAAATTAAATCCGAGCTTTCGGTGTTGCGGTCAACTCAAACCCTTCGGTGTGTAATGTTTGTGTTTTTCACGCTAAGGTGTTCGGTAAAATACAGTTATTTGCGATGTTGTTGTCAGTTGTTTGATCTTTCTCATACCTAAATTTAGAATGCAAACCTCGTTAATCCGTGCTAATTTATGACAAGCACGTAACGAACAAAATACAGACCAACACTGTCTACATAATCTTCAATATGCTTCTGCTGCCAATCCGAAGTTGTTTTCATTACCTAACTTGACAAGTAACTTTACCTCTGCCATGATGCACTCGGAGCTCAGCCTTAAACAGACTCAGACCCTTTGTTTTGTTTATAACAATTTAATGACATTACTGTGGGGCATACCCCTTACCCCCCGTCTTTTCTTTGGTTCTTAATCACGTGACATGTTACCGCAGGAAATTTCGATTACCCTCTATACCCTTCATCCCTGATTGTCATTGGTTAACCACGTGACATTCTCTATTCTTTTGTGATACCCGTTTATTAGTCAAACGGTCTTGAGAGAATTCATTTTACTTGTGACGTTAGTTGTTCAGCACGTCTCCTTTGTAGTTTCTTTCCTGTCTTGGCAGTTATGGAGTCGAGTGATCGCGAATTGTGAGACGCTTTTAATTGGAGGAATTTGAAAGGACTATGTTTGATGTAAGTGATTTTCGTCGCTATTTGAAAACTGCTTATAATTCAAGTGGTTGTTTTATTTGAAGCGATTAGTTTTCAGTGTTTGTAAATGAAGTTAGATCTTTACTTCAAGCGCGAAAAGTTTGTTTGAAATTCCTTTGATGTTATTCTCAAGGGTAAAGATCCAGCTTCTAAATATGTGCTTTTCGGTTTTAATTTATTCCACGTTTCATCTCTGACCACTTGTGTTAATTCTTCAATGGTCGCCCAAAATGCCTATTGTTTGTTCAAGATTCCTTTGAATGGGACTTTTCTCAAGGGAACAGTCGAGATCAATGAGTTTAGATTTTATTGCAAACTGCCATTAGCAATTTATTTCCACTTGAAGTATTTTAATTGTATTTTTTCCTCACCTTTTGCCCTATATATTTTTGCCTTCGCTTATTATTCGTTACCCGTCAAAGATTGCATTCATGCTAGATAATATTATTTCTGTTCTATTTCTTAATAGTGTTATCTTATTTGAGACACAATGACCAGCTTTCTGTAATTTTAGCGCAAACCTTTTGGACATTAAAATTCATTTGAAATTGTGTGATGCGGATAGAAACCAGTCTTTTTACTCAATCAACATGGCAACGACGTCATATCTTGTAATGTTGGCGCAAAAGTTTTGATATTAAAGTTCGTGACATTTGCCATTGTGGGATGTTTGGCTTAATGCTTTCCTTAAGAAAGGGGGACTGGGGAGGAGCCAGTATTTTTAATTCATTCTGATTGGTTCCCGATGAGTTTTTCGTCCCATGATGCTTTGGGACAGCCTCCCTATAGTCAGACCTCGGACCCAAGTCACTCAGTCTTCACCATGGCCGCTTGCCGGAAGGACTTCTGTCGTTTAGAACCACAGGACACTGGAAGTATTTTATTGATTGATTATAGATTTTTTTTATTGAATTGACTGTGTATCGATTTGATTTGACGAGCGTGAGGAAAAATAGATTTCTTTTGTAAGAAGGTAGTGACGCTTTTGCGTGACAAGGATCACGTGTTCTCACGACTTAGGGGTCTGCCGTGATTCTCCCTCCCTG